TGTCTCTAGAGGTGGTTTGTTAATGTTAGGGGAAATGTGGGGTAATGGTCTGTAGTGCTATCGACGATTATCCCTGAAGTAAGCGGAGAGGTTATGTTGGTCCAAATGTGATCAAGAGCCATGGCAGTACTATCAGTGATTTTAGTAGGTCTAGTGATTAGGGTATGAGGAAGCAGGAATTCATACAGTTGAGGAAGCTGGCAGCAGTAGGGTTTTCAGGCTTGCAGATATCAATATTAAGGTCCCCTGCGATAATTAGATGGTTTTTGTTCATTCTGTTATCTAGTATTAGATTTCTAAGGTTAGAGTTGAATTCGGACACATCAGTGTTAGGAATTCTATAGACTGCTCCCACAATCAGGATAGACTCAGCATCCTTGACTCTGAAACTGGCGAAGATATACTCCCCATAGTTGTCTCTAGTTCTAATTACTTTTAAGCATGTTAGTTCTTGGCGGTAGTAAAGAGCAGTATCACCACCTCTGAATTGGACGACAGTTGTGAATTGCTGAGTAGTTTGGTATGTTAAAAAGTTGAGTAGTATCCTCGTTTAACCACGTTTCAGTAAGTATAATATAAGAGAATTTGTTGTCAATAGTTTCAATCAAGGCACTAACATCATCGAAGTGTTTGCTTAGAGATCTTACATTCAAGTTAATTACAGAGATATTGTGATTGTGTTAATACATTGTTTACATCATGTGCTGTAAATATCTGCAATTTTGATCATTAAAGTGATGATTGTCATAGATAGTGGATAAGAGGTTTAGTTCTGGGTCTATACTTGTTTGCATAAGAAGGCTGGTTGTAGGAAAACAAGGCAAGAATGGCAATTACAAAATAAAATTTTGATATAAAGGGGGGGGGGGGAAATAAAAATGTAAACAAGACTGTACAAGACAAACAAAAAATTAACAAAAAAAAAAGAAAAATGAGGTAGATTGCTTACAAGTACTCTCAGGTACACTGTAAGTAATAATTTGCATTTTGAGACCCAGGCAAAGCCAGGGGTACACTGGAGTAAGGGAGTATGGCGAGGCTAGGCAACCTAGGTAATAAATGAAAGCAAAAAAATAAGTTGAATAATAAACATAGGCAAATTTAATCTAATGGTTATTAACTATAAATAGTTTAGTTATGATCCTATAATTAATAAGAACTAAAGAAAATATTAATGCACTCAATTAATTAAGTCCAATAAATGACTAATTAAAAATTAAAATTTAATTTAAAAAGTGTAACAAAGAGACTTTGGATACCTCGCCCGCACTAGGTGACAAGGGGGTTAATTATGTTGACTCATTGAGAGGGATATTAAGGTGAGACAAACCACATTGGGAGAGGAAAGTGTTGAGGTTCTCCTCATTAGCAATTGTAAACATTTTACCTCCTGAAGTCTTTCTCACTTTAATAATGCCATGTCCAACAAAGCACTGATGAATCGCATCTGGGTTTTGATAACGGATTTGATGCAGGCGGTGGAGGAGTTTCTGTCTTTTTCTAGTCAAGCACTCGTTGATGTAGATTCCCTTTCGTTGGGATGCAGCTGTCCGGACACGATGCGATTTTATGGACGGGGAAGCCAGCTTGAGGCAAATTTTTTGCCGGTTTTGTCCTGATGGATTCTTTTTGCCTACTCTGTAGGCAGCAATAATGTCCGTTTTATTTAGAGTGACACGCAATTTGTCATTTATGAGAGCTTGAACTATTTCAATACACTTTTCATCCTCACGTTCCTCAGGAATATCTTGGGACGATACAACAACAGAGTCAAGCAACTTTTGCTAGTCTTGTTCATCCTGGGAGATGGAATGTTGGGCGGATAATGTACTGATACAGCCAGTCATTTTGTTGAGAGCTTCCTCTTATTTTTTTTTCTGGCTTCATCAGTTTTCAGACGTATATATTCTTCACAGAGATCATTCAAATCATGCTGGAGTTGATCTTGGCTAGCCTTATAGTTTCTAATATCCTCGTGGAGAAGGGTTATTTCTTGTTGTTGTTGATGAAGGTTCACACAGTTCCTTGATTCTCAGTTTGAAGACTCAGGATGATCGTATTTTGAGTCTCAAGGACTTGGCACAACTTTTTGAACCACTGATTCTCGGCCAAGTTAGGGAAATCCAGTGAGGGACCAGAAGCACGCTTGAATTTCGTAAAGTGGGATGTAAGCATGAAATTAGGAGAGGATTGAGAAGACACAGCTCCCTGGCTCAGTGATGGGGTAGAGGGGAGAGCAGCACCGCCGCCGCGGGCCCCAGAGCTTCCAGATGGAGAAACACGATGGCTGTCAGTGTTGTTCAGGATGGATGCCTTGTTAGGGGCTTTGTTGCTCTTATTTCCCTGCGCAGTCTTGTTTTTTGGGAGACATGATTGGTTGAGAATGGACTGGGGTATATGTTGTGGCTGAAACTTGCGTCAGGCAGTGCGGAGGCAGGCAGCAGGCACTGGTACTCACAGCCGGAGAGGATTGTTTTGAATTTTGTTTGAGATGGAATGAGTTGATTTAGGTTGGTTACTTTTGAATGTGCTATGACATTCTTGGACTCCGTGTACTTAGCTGCCTGTGGGTGGTGGTCTACATCATCTGGGGGTAGTTTGAGGGCTGAAATACATCTTAGAGTGAGGAGCGTAGCGAGCACTCGACAGCGTCAGGCGACGGTCAGGCAAACAATCTATTGATGCTTGATTGGTTCGGCCGGGGGGGTGTCCTGTGTTGTCCGGTTGCACTTTTTGCCGATTCCTGCGTACCGTGTCTGGGATGCGCTTTGGGTTGATCCGGTTCTCCTCGTTCCCGGTTTCAGGGTTTGGATCTTCCAGGTCGTCCGCAGAGTTTTTAGGTCTTCCAGCCTGCGGTCTATCCTTACACCCGTGCTGTTTGGACGTTTGCAGCTTTCGCTGCTGTGTTGGTGATGTCTAGGGCTCATTTTGGGCGCGAAGATTTGAGGGTCGCACAGTTTCCTGGCCGCCCAATTTTTATGCGTGCGTCTGCTCCTGTGCGTTCTTGTTGCCCTTGGGTCGCAGGTTGCAGCCTGTTGTCTCGGCTTCGCGTTGCGGAGTTTGTGGCGGCCGCTTCCCAGGTCAGCCCTTTCTTTTCCTTCTCTTTGGGTATGAAGCTCCAGGGAGCTGTAGGGGCTCCCCACAGAAAACCAGCGTTGAATGTAATGAAACACCGTTTTCTGGGTGAGCCCCAGAGGCTCCCTGGCAACCCTCCCTCCCACTGGTCGGCATTTTTTTCGCGTTGGTTGAAGCTTAGCTTCCGAACTGATGCTAGGCAGCTGGCGCGCTGAGGTCCGTGGCTCCCTCTCCCCCTCCCCCTCCGCCTCTCGGGGCGGGGAGGGCTGCACGGACAATCAGCGCGGCAGTAAAGTGTGATGTTTGCTTGTTTCCTTGGGATTGTAGGGAGTTTCTACCTCTTTGTTCATTTTTTTGTTTTAGTTTTTTACCATGTGGGGTTTGTTTTGTTATGCCTACCTTTCTAGGTGTCTAACCCCGGTCGATGGCAGATAAGGAAAACCCCAACCTCAAGGGGGTTTTCCAGGGCCATTGCTCCCTGAAACCTCTCTGAAGGGGCCAGGTTCTGGCACTGGTCCCTGGTAGGTCTGAACTCCTTACTTAATGTCCCGGTCTAATATAACATACATTAGCCCGATAAGCTCCAGGGAGCCTCCGGGGCTCACCCAGAAAATGGCGCTTCATTACATTCAACGCTGGTTTTTTTTTTTTTGCAATTCTTGATTAATGTGTACTTCAAGGAATCTGGGCCTGGCACAGAGGACATGCTGAATATTTCATCAGGCAGGGACCAAGTAAAAGTTGTTACTACCTTAACCCCATGGAGGATTCCACATGAGAAATTGTGCAAAACTCTGGCCCACATGATGGAGTGGGTCTCATCAGCAGAGGTCATGAAAAATTTTTCTTTTCCTACTACATAGCTCTGTGCACTGATGGGTCTTGTTCTGCCAATGGTGTTGGCTACTCCGTCGTTTTTCCTGATCAAACTTACACGTGCCACCCCTGAAGACTGGCATCATCATGGCAGAACTTTATACATTTTTATATGCTCTTCTTCAGCTGCTTTCTCTGCATCAATGTTCCTTTGCCATTGTAGTCAACTCGTGGTGCCCTCAAGGCTCTGGAGTCTTAAAAACACTTTGCACTCTGTGATGATTGAAACGCAATATTGGCCATTTCATATATCTGGCGGATATAAGACTGTCCAATTTTGCTGGGTTCTGAATAATGTTATGGTTAAGCCCAAGCCTAGTCCATAACAGCGCCTGAAAATTAAGTGTGCCAAGAACGATTGTTTCATATTTCATAAATGTTAATAAGGCATGGGTGTACTAGCACCTAACTCAGGAGAAATTACCAAGGACCCACTAGAAAAAGAGTATTTCATTACATTTAATGTTTGATTTCTGCACCCATAAATGTTAAAAGAAGTGAAGAATTGCTTTTTCCATATGATTATGGTAATTAATGTATGCATAAATTTAAGGGTCCCAGTAGTACAGTCGGGTTAGTTCTCGACTCACAATAGAGAATTCTGGCTTCGAATCCCGGGTGGGGCAGAAATGGTTAGGCGGGTTTCCTATCACCTAATGCACCTGTCCACCTAGCAGTAAATAGGTACCCAGGAGTTAGTGAGCTTGTTGTGAGGTTACATCCTAGGAAGGTCAGTAATTTGACCCTGGGGGGAAGACCTCGATATAAGCCTAACATGTACTCTATAGTATGTATACACTGGCTACCTGTCCCCCAACACAATTACAGTTGTTAATGAATTAAATGTATTCAGTAGAACGTCTTCCTGTTCTCTTTGTTAGACCATGTGGCACTAATAAAAGTATATGGCAAATGCTGCTCGAACAGAAATACTTTAACAGAAGACCCTAAAAAATTGATCTAAGTATTTGTGATATCACCGTACTTATTTACATTTTTAAGTTTTATAATATAACTTCAGAACATAAATTAGTGATTGTTTTTCACAGGCTTCAAATGGAAGTGGAGATGAGGATATAGCTACCAGTTTACAGCAAGTGAAGGGTTCTCTCCAGCACCTTATAATGCAACTCGACACCCTCACTCAAACTGTCCTGGTCTTGGAACAGAGACTGTCTCATGCTGAGAACAAAATATCTGAGCTTGTTAACAATCAGCACAATCTTCGATAATTGTTTTATCTGGCATATTGGAAATTTTCTTTAAAGGTGCTTTTGTTTTGTAACTCTGATTTGTTAAAAAAAAAAAAATAATAGGCAGTTACTAGTACTTGCTGATCAGTGAATTTGCAAGGATAATTTATACAGAAAATGATACAGTATAGAAGAAGGTATTGCCTAGAGTAGGGTTACAAATCACATACACTGAAAGCTGTCTTGGTGAGATACAAAAGTGAATGCAGGTCTGGACTATGCATAATGAACCAGCTATGTGAGGACAAAGATGTAGTAGACATTGTGTTCTAGCAGTGAGGAATCTCTTCCTTCAAATATTTTTCAATGTAGAATACATAAATTGAAGGACTTCTTTCTGAAAGCAGTTTGCTTTATTTCTTATAAGATGAGAGATGTATTGAAATTTTGTAATACAAAAGGATTTACAGGGTATTATTCAATTTAAGAGAATAGTGTGCCAACAATTTTGAGAAACAAAGATGAGATCAAAGCTATTTTGAAGATAGTATTGTCTGTAAGGGCTTTATCAGATGTTAGCAGCTAATTGTGCATGTCCATGTTAGACTTCATAAAACCCTTAACCTTATTTTTGCTCCAAATTCTGAATAACATCCTGGTGTCCCTCATTTGTCTTATCTTTTACCTTTCTTGGCTGTTACTTTAAAATCTGATGGTATTTATAACAGAAATCAGATACTGTATACTTATGAGATGGCATAAGCAGACAGATCAATACCCTTAAGAGTTATGTAAAGGAGAAGTGTTCCATTAAGTGCTCATGAGTTAAGCATGTGATGGCCACTATGCAACCTAGCCAGAGTAATTTCCAGATTGTTTCCTACCATTTATTACGGTGGTAGGAGGAAGGCCAAAGGGGACAGGTCACCCTTAAGAGTGCATGGTTTGTTACCTGTAATTCAAGACTAATAACTTTGCCAACAGTCACAGAATGAATGACTAGAATTCCAAATAAGTCTCTTTCCAGGAAATATTGCAAGTACAAATGGTGGCTGTACTTGCATTTAATGTAACACCTGTAATGTATATGATTTTGGATAAAAACATTCAGAGAGTATGTGGTCTTTGATGTTTAATACAGTTTTGGTTACAGCAGTTGGATGACGTGATATAGGTTGAGATGAGGATGCTTGATACATGCTGTTGGCCAAGTCAGGCTGTAGTGCTGATGGTGGTCAGAGGTGGAGAGCTTGTTCAAGGCCTGGAGCAGAGAGCTTGAGTGAAGCAGCAGGTGGAGCACTCAAACAAGGGTGTGATTGAAGAGATTGAATATGGGGCGAGAGAGGTAGCTCGAATAAGGTCAGAATTGGCTCTCTGCTCTGTAGCAATGCTGTATTGTCTTGTGAGAGAATTGGAACTAAACTCTGAGTGTGTTATTATATGCTGAATAATGTCAATAGCATTGGAGAAGATCCCCAGTATATCCGTAACATTTGTCACTGATCGGTTTATACCTATACTTCACCTGACGTTGTGTTTAACTTATTGGATGCAAACTGTGTTCATCATCATTTGATCTGATGGGAAAACTGGCTGGTTACTATTGCCTTTCCTAAGTGATGTGGAAACATTAGGGAACATTTATTAAATATTTACTGCCTTTGTTGATCTTATAAGCTTCCTATGCTTCTGTTTTCTTACTCTCGGGATTAAGAAGAGCAAGTTACCGAAAGTCATGGTAAAGGAATTAATGATTATTGAAGGGTGTATTTTCTATAACGTTTCTTTCCACTAACATCTTCAGGCAAGGAAAGAATATACACGGTGAAAATTTATTTTAAATACACATGTGAAAGAGGTGGTGATGTGTGGGGGCAAAGGTGAAGTAATCACACACAGGTGAAGAAATAAGGAAATAATGGAGATGGATGCCAACCAAACACTGGGTAAGGCGGTGGAGAACTCGGTAGAGATGTTGTCTATTGTTGTATGGTGAGGTCTGGATTTGAGTATAGGCAAGGTATCGAAGTCATTACTGTGGGTCTTTTTTTCTTTTATGATTATAGCTTCCAGTATTTGCAGTCTTCTCTGGTCAGTGATGGATGCTGCAAATACTGGAAGCTATACTCATAAAAGAAAAAAAGACCCACCCTAAATTTACAGAGCAATGATTTCGATACCTTGCCTATGCTCAAACTCGGACCTCGCCATGCAGCACCAGATAACGACGTTTCTACCAAGTTTTCCCTACCCGCTGTTTGATTGGCATCCATCCCCATTATTCCTGTATTACTTCACATTTTCCCCTCACACAACTTCACCTCTTTCACATGTGTATTTAAGATAAATTTTCACCTTGTTTATTCATTCCTTTGCCTGAAGATGTTCCAGAGTGGAGGGCAGGGAATTATCAGGAGAAAATGCCTAGCCATTACAACTATATAGCACTTAGAAGGGGCCAGGATAAGGATTTTGGATGGGATGGGGGCAAGGAATGGTGCCCAACCACTTTGACAGTTAGGGATTGAACGCCAACCGGCATGAAGTGAGACTGTCACTCTACCATCCAGCCCAATTGGTTGGGCGTTCTAGAATGGAAGAAAACGTTGTAGAAAATATAACCTTTCAATATTCATTAATTTCTTTACCATGAATTGCTGTAATTTGATTGCTCTTCTTAATCCCGAGAGTAAGAAAATAGTTATAATACAAGCTATTTGTGCTTCTAAGATCAACAACGCTGGCAATGTGGCATATTGAACTAAATATGCTTAAAGGAATGCCCGCTGCCCAAGTATACAAACATAAACATAATTACCGATATCATTAATAGTGAATACGATTGCATGTAATGAGTGATTATGGTGATAAGTAGCTGACTCGTTAGAAATGTGATATGCTACACACCGATATGGTTAGAGAACCCAGTAAAATTAGACTGTAAAAGCTGCTAGAGATAAGAAACAGCCAGAATTGGATTCCTACCACCTTGGTATGCACAGGGGTTAAATGATTTCAAAAGTACAATGGCAAAGTAACTTTGCTGCAGTAAAAGCAGCTAATGAATAGTATATAAAATTACATAAAGTTCTACTGTAAAGATGCTAGTCTCCAGGGTCAGGCAGTATCTGTAGGTGGTCAGGAAAGACAATGGAGTAACCAACACTGTCTTAGACCCATCTGTGAGCAGTGGAGTTGGACTGATCGTTTTACAGTCTGTATCCATTTTAAACTGGATAGATTGAAGTCTCCAAGGAAGATGATATCTGGTACTGGGTTTGCTAGGTTATCAAGGATATTCTCTATTTTGTGGCTCTGTTCAGTGAATTCCTCGACTGTTGCATCTGGCGGTTTGTATATTAAAATAATAAGTAGATTCGTATTTTCTACCTTGATTCCAAGTACCTCTACCACCTCATTGGACGAGTTCAGGAGCTCTGTGCATGCCAGCTCCTCTCTAGTATACAGACCTACTCCTCCACTTGCCCTAATTACTCTGTAACATCTATATAGATTATAATTCGGAATCCAGATTTCACTATCCATGTGGTCTTTTGTGTGGGTTTCTGTAAATGCACCAAATATTGAGTTCGATTCTATTAGGAGGCCATGAACTTAACTTTTTTCTTGATTTTGGTTTCAAGCCAAGGTGGTGAGAGGGGAACAGATAACGGTCAAAGCACAGCATGAAAGCAAAGCTTTTGCACAGACCATGTAAGGCAGTAATGATTGCAGCGATCCTGTAGAGACAGGATGCTGGTTTCATCATACAAGCTCTGGGTGGGGAATGACTGTAAGGCACTAGAGCCAAGGCATAACCCAGTATGATGAAGCATATTGAGATGACAAAGGATCGAGGGAGAGGAATAAGCGGGAAAACCATAATCAAGTTTAGACAGCAGTCTGAACTTTATTATAAAAAAAAGTGCAAATAGAAGTGTGTATCTATCAGCACCCCAGGCAGTAGAAAGAAATGGCCTTAGAGCACTCGGCTCGGAGGTGAGAGACACGGGATGACCAATACAAATGGGAGCCAAAGATCAACCCCAAGAGTTTAGCATTATCTTCATACATAAGGGAATTACCATTAAACTATCTGGTTCGAAAGACCATAAATGTGGGGGGAAAATGCTGGGATTAATGTGAGAGGAGAACTACTAGGGACTTGTACTGTACTAAATTAAAAATTACTATGTAAAATTAATTCAACTAAAGTGTCTAGCTAGGGTTGTAAATTCTACCTCCTCTTTTCTTAATGACAGACTGTGGGCTGTAAGGGGCAGGTGGGTGGGGAAACCCTAAGAATGAATGTAGAAGTTGATTGAAGATCCACAATCCACCTGCAGACAAGTTCCTTGCATCAGCTTGAATTGTTAATACAAGGATAAGATTTAATAATTCAGTACTATAACTGAACAATGGTTCTGTTTAAATTAGGAATTTAAACATGTACACAATTCAGTCTAGCACCATAACTATAACAACCAATATATATTCTTATATTATAAACACAATAATTAAAATTGTAGAAGTATAATATTAAATGACCTTAAATGTGGTCTAAGTACTAGTTAACTAAGTACTAAAGATTATATTCAATTAGATAAACTTATATTATAAATTAAAGATAACTAAGCAAGCAATTGTTAACTTAATTTATATGTTCAAGTATATATATAGATATATTTAATTTATATAAAGAGATTCAGGTATGCTCGACTGGAACACTTCCCAGACTAGTGTGACGGTGTTCCTCCCCTTATATTTCTCCCACGCCAGCTGTAAGTCATATCTACTTTACCCGAATGTTCTCTGCCTTCCAGAGAACAATTTGACATATGTGGGAGCATGAGGTGTTCTCGCGTTGGCGAGAAATTAACTAAAGAAGGGGGTTTTGGCCAGTGGCTTAGGCCCTTTTGGATGCTAAGATGGCGCCGACCCCTACGTTTTTGTGCCAAGATGTTATGACGTCAGTGACACCAGATTGGTCAAGAACGGTGACGTGGTACAGGGAGCCAATGAGAAACGCCCCTGGCAAGTATGACGTCACGAGTGGAAGGGGGTCCGGGCGGCGCGCCCTGTGGCGCCAAGAGTTAGATACGACACGTCGTGAAGGGCGGACGTGCGATAGGGGGTCCTGTCAGTCTGACAGTTTTCGCCCCTCTCCTGTGAATATACGCATCTCCAGTGGTCTGCAAGCATCCTGTGAAGTCTTCCTGAACTCCGTGAGGCGGGCAGAAGAAGGAATTGACAGGAAATGAGCAACAAGTGCTCCAGTGACTGGTGCTTAGCAAGAGTGAAGCCCGGGCAGTGACGTCAGAGACGACTGTACAGTTTCACCAGTTGGGTGATGACGTAGTGGCTGGGCCAGTTCACCGTGAGGAAGAGGAACAAACTAGCTGGGAATACAAACGACTGCAGCCGTGAGTAAGGACTGCAGACGTAGTTGTGAGGAGGAGGCGACGGCCAGGAGACCGACTCTAACCCTTCAAGAGGTTGTGGAGGAGCACGGAGCCTGCAGAGAGAAGCAGTAAGGAGAAGATGAGCTTTTGGGTGTTGGTTGAGGTCCTGGGAAGAGCATCAGTGTGTGTGGGGGTGTTCCCTACAGCAAGTCGTGAGCCGGAACCAGGAGCTTCAATTCAACCCTCAACAGAGGATGAGTCCACAT